AAATATCGTCATTCGGATGAAATGGACTACCATTACATGAAGCTACATAATTCTAAAAACATGTTCATCAAAAAAAAATTCATACGAAATGTCGTCTTTATACATATTCTCTGGATCGATTACGAGAGATCAAATCCCTCAATAATTTCACGATAAACTGACGCGAAACAACAAAACAACCCGGAATAAATTTACAATACCTCTAACAAGCAAGAATGTCTATGTACAAACAATTACGAATATGTACAGAATGACAGGTGTGGCCCAGAAGATCTCAGTTGTCGTAATAGAAACCTCCTGACCCACACCCACAAAATGACCTAGACCCAGAAAGAAAACATCAAGAAAAAAGCTGTAGCTGGGGTGCAGTTAGGCAGACGCTATAAAAATATCAAAACATGGTCAAAATTCAGGGTATAAACCTGGAAAGGCTACTAATTGCTTGTAAAACTCTCGAAAGAGGTACACTACGAATATCACATTGGGACCGCGTATGAGGGACACACGTGCTGTTAGAGCAAAGCGTTACCAAGATGCGCCTACATGGAACATCTCGGGGTCGGAGAAAGCGGTTATTTTCACGAGACGGTAACCATGTGATCGCATGCAATGACTAGAGCTATTAAACACGAAAAACTGAAAGCAAACAAATAAATAATTGTATCAGAACGGGAGATGCGGCAAAAGGAAACGGCTGGATCGTAGGGCAGAGGGGTCAGTGGCTCATTAAAAACTGAAGAGGCCAGCAGGCTATAACGCAGGTACCAGCACAAGAGATCACAATGAAAAATATTTGGGAGAAAAAAAAACTTGAAAGAGGCATTCTAAGCCTCTTTCATGGACAGCGTGCTAGAGCTTAGGAGGGACAAAGCTTCCTAGAAACATCTATGTCGTTCACGCTTTCGATGTCATTTTGCCCCTAACTACGACGTGACCACGAATCCATTTTTCTGATTCTATGTTGTCAGAATTCATCTTCCGCTGGAGCTCGTCTTCTTCTTTCATGTGTGCTATCCGAGCTCGCACCTAAAACAGTGCATTCATCTCTACAGTCATCAGATACCATAATGAGACTGGTGCCAGAGTTCGCGATTCATCGCGCGATTCGCGCGAATGCAAGTATCCGATGCAAATGCTAGTACCGAAATACTGCGAGGTGCTGCTAATCCAGTCGCCAATTCTGCTTGATAGTGATGTTAGAAAAACGACTGCTCATGATTTCACTTGCTTCATTTTCAAAGTTTCATGCTCAATTTGAATGTTCATGATTCACACAACTTTTTTTTCTGATTCAGAGACGCAACTCATCGCACAATATATAGATTTTGAATCGAGAAGTGTATTTGCTGATTTATTTCAATGTAAATGTTCTCCTATTTATATCGAACCGTTGAAAGTTTGGAAAGGAAAAAGAAACTCATGAAGGCATAAAGGATCCATGCAGAGATACCATGCAGAGTAGACGGAATTATTGTGTAGATTGAATAAACAAACTCACTTTGGTTCGAAATTCCATGTTAAAGAAAATTCATTATAAGAGCGAAGTTGAAGTAGGAAAAATTGCCTAGGCGGGAGACTGGGATATCCGCGAGGTGAAGACTCACACGCAATTCGCGCGAAAGTTCAAGCGGCCTCGAGGTTGTGACTCTGAACTCACCTTAACACGTTGACGACCGCGCTATTTTTCGCTGTCTGGCATGTGGGACCGCGCGCATTATTTTGACCGCGCGAGTGTGACATGGCATCATGTGAAACAGTCCCACGAGAACTCCTTTCTCAGAAAGTGTGTATTTATTGTGTTAGGTCTCCGATTATGCGATTTTGGCCATTTTAGCGATTCCTGTGATTTGATCATTATTCAAACATTTTTAGAAAAACTCGATAGCCCATCAACCGAAGCTTCTTTCCAGGGACCACGCCTTTTGTAACAATGCCTAAGTATGGCGCATACATCACGTAAATAAGTTACCTAAAATGTTTGAAAACCAGCTTAAAAAAGACTGTGACATGACATCATGTCACACGGTCCCACGTGGCCGAAAGAGTGTGGTATGACATCATACCACACGGTCGTCAACGTGTTAAACTCTTTGCGCTCCTCAATGGTCCCTCTCCTCTCCAAGGCTTAGTCCTAGGGCATTCACCCGTTCTCTAATCGTCTGTGCTCTAGCCATCGCGGCAGGACCATTGAAGGAAAATCAAGTAGTCCGTAAACCATCCTCGCCGACCAAGCACGGCTCACTCTCGGCGCAGTTGAAGCTAGTCACCAACTATCTAGTCACTCGCCGCAGGTCTACACGCAGCGATTGATTGGATAACAGAGAGAGAGCACTAGCGCTAGAGGGCATAAGGACGCAAGTCGCATAAATGCGGAAATTACGGGCAAGGAAGGGATCGCATTGCTCGGGTTCTGGATCGTTTATAATGGTTTTTCTCTTTCTTGTACCGCTCACTATCCTTAATTCAATTTGAAATGGGTTGCTTTTTCATTGCAAACTCTGCCGTTAAGTTATGTCCCTGAAGGAAAAAGTCCAACAAATAATGAACACATAATGCCTTTGAATACGAACATGAAGAAAATCCATGAACATCGTCTTTCAATTCATCACTAATCTAGCAGACATTTGGGGTGTGTTAAAGCAGAAGTTCGCAATATTGCGGTTTTCTGCGATACGCAAATCGCGCGATGGATCGCGGACACAGACACCAGCCTAACCGGGCGAAAAGATCGCGCACATGTCGCGCAGTGAACTCGAAGCGACACTTACAGGTTCCGTAGTCGCTGAGCACGGGTTCGCAATGACTAACAAAACTGCTTCATATCATTTCTGTATGCATTTCCATCTTCTCACTTGTATCCTTCTGTTACTGAAGCTCTTTTAAGGTACTAGCGACAGCTAAAGCTTCCCTCGTACAAGAAGAAAGTGAGTGAGAAGGCGAGACTGCATGTACAAAGCCCCGAAGCAGTCTCGTGAATTCTATAGACCCTATCGCGGTTCGCGGCGATAGTCGTGGGCGCACCGCGCGCGCGGACTCTGGCACGCCGCTGGTCGTATGGCATGGTCCATCAACCCCCGTTCCTGGGTTAGGAAGCCCTTAAGGCCCCGGGGTGCGGAGGTCATGCGTGCGGGAAACCGCATGATCCCCGGGAAGGACCCGTAGAACGACGTGTGCCTGGGAAAGGCCACGGGGGCCCCGAACCACCTCGATGCGTCGTGTTGGAGGGTTAGGAGGGCGACCGCTCCCGAACCACGACAGACCTTGACCCAGTTACTAATGGATACAGTACTTCGAAGTCACTGCGGAACAGTCGATCGCGATTTGCGATCCTTCTGTTGTACACTCTAAAATCGAAATCATTATTACCTCGTCCGGATAATAATTTCTGAATATGGCTTCGTCTGCGCACCATTCCATTGCGACATAAGTGTGAAGCAGTAGCTAAACATTTTCACAGCTTTATACTCAAACAATTAGAATGAACAAGCGAACAAATGTTAAAGAACTAAGAGAAGAGGCCACTGGCAGTAAATTGCTGCCCATGAGATGGTGATTCCTCTTTCAGACAAAATTCTAGTAGAAAAGTGTTTGGCTGTTAGTCTTCGAGCCGTGTTGAAGCAACAAGGACTCGCACTTCCCTGTACGAACCATAGTCGACCTTGCACTGATGTGCAATCCCTGGCAATGAGGTCTGATACGGCATGGTGATAAGAAAAAAACTCACCAATGGGAATCGGGAGGTGAAGTAGCACAGGAACTCGTTCGGGATTTTGCCCAAAGATTTTTGAACCTCTTCAGGCAATTCTCGATAATGATGTTTCTTGTTCCGCATGGCACGTAAGAGATCCCTCACTGAATGTCCTTTGTATGTTCGGATAGAGATTTTCTTCGGTCTAAAAACGAGGCCGAGGTTATGATTTGCATCACCGAAACAGAACAACCCACCTGCTGCTAGCGGTATCACAAATCTGTTATTGCGCCAATCATTTCCAGCAACGATCCTGTGGCGAGCTAATTTCTCTCCAAGCGACACTCAACGTAACTCCGCACTTGAGTCAATCCTCTTTCTCTAATCGACCTCAGATAGCATCCTTTAGAGAATAATAAATGGGCTCAAGAACCTTAAGTATTCCACGCCATTGAGAGACATTTTTGATTGTATGCAATAAGGACAAAGAAGAAACCTCCGAAGAGCCAATGATAAGAGTGACGAAGAAAAATGATTCTATCAAAATCGTTATTTCACTTGATCCACATTTTTTATTACTGCAGAAGGTCCATACGTAAAAAACTACTCACCGAACCATAAGACAGAAAATGTGGAAATGAGGACTGCGAAAGCCCAGAGATGAGATATCCTTTCAATTCTCTACCCATGCACCTTCCGAAGCCACACTAAAGGTGGTAGGTCGTCTTTCATGAAAACTGTTCAATGTAATCAACTCGACGGTTAAGGCAGGCGTGCCCAACTGAACTAAAGGAGCCGCGCGGTAAGCAGCTAGCGGAGTCTTCGTCCTCACGTCCAGATCAGCGCTAAAGCAACGAACCCCAGATTTGGACCATGTTCGCGCCATTAAACGGAGTGAAAACTGAGTGAGCTCTGGTCGATTTGGATAGGTGCCAATTGTGGTCGTTGGCCTTTTGGTCCACGCCAATTCGCTAACCGTGGAGATCCCATGATTGGCTGCGTAGCGGCTAATCCATATACGCGCGGATAAGTGGAGTCATGAAGCAAGCAACTTCGAAACTCATCCTTCCCCCCCCCCTTCCTTATTTCAGGAGGAAGAGGGAATACTTGTTAATGGTTTAATGGCCTGTTGGCTTACTTTTTATCATTTTCAGTCTGCGACTTGCGGAAATCAACGGGTAAGGAGTCCTCTTTTTCCAGGGTTCCGGCCGTTTCGCATAAATTCTCACTCATCCTTGCTCCACTCAATTTTCCTAAACGACTGCTCCATGGCCCGCCTTTGCGTGACGCGAGTGTGCTCAGATTTGCTTAATTTATAAAGTCCTAGCGCCTTTGCGGCGCTGTTTTGAGTCGCGCAGTAGCACCTCTGTGATACTCTGGGCAATCTCCGTACAGAACATATTGTTGCACACAACCTCATCTAGGGTTGCTTCTTCAACCGGATGTGCGAAGAAGCAGTTGTGAGCCAAAGGAATAGGATTAATGGGGAGGGCCTTATAGTTTTTGTGGTGAAAGGAAAAAAGCTCGTAAGTCGGATGCAGAAATGGCTGCGTTTCTGAGCGAAATCAACAGTATGTATATCATTAAGGCAAAGGGAAACAAAAATACACGTATCAAAAGGCTCACTCCGAAAAATTGCAGCCTCCTCTCAGGTTCCCAGAAAAACGGATGAGCCAACACACACTGGATAGATGGCCGATCTGTTGGCGCTTTTTGGATCATCGATTCGATTAAGGCAACACTTTCATGAACATCTGAACACGTGACATTTTTATGACATTATCGAGACAGCAACAAGGTGATTAATTTAACTACCTTCTTTAATTCCGCGAAGTACATATTCCTCCATTAATTATATTCGTTTGCCTATGCAAGCTATCGCCAAATGGGTGATCGCCATTGGACAAAACGTAGTAAAATATGCACCCAAGAGAGAAAACATCAACGGGAAAACTCTGCAAGAATTCAAACGCTTGTTACAGAAGAACCCTTATCCATACAACACCACTAACCGTGCTCTGTGCGGCAAGGGCTTCTGGAGCAATCCAACCGTCAGTTCCTGCAAGTCCACTTCTCTTCCAGTTCCTGCAAGTCCACTTCTCTTCGAGAGTGAATGGCGACCCGGTTGCACACGCTTACAAAGTCCGAAATCAGAAATGACCGCTCGTACGCCGCGAGAACCCGCCGTGGACAAAAGCACGTTCTGAGGCTTCATATCTCGGTGAACTGTAAAAATAAAATCTTTTAAAGTTGTGGCGTCAAGAAGGAATAAGTGCACTAGTTTGTGCACAAGTAATGCGGAAACAAAGAATCCTGTTGTAGCTGAAGGGGAACGGGTGCTGCGCGGAGGAAGGTCTTACGGTCATGTTTGCAACTCTTTCAATTTGTGAACTGGACAACGGATCGCTACATTTTAAAAAGTTCTCGATAACCTCCCCCACCACCATCCGGTGTTCCTCCAATGAGGAGTGTTCCTCCAATAGGAGCTCCCTTCCCCGCCCGCTACCACCATCCTCACCATCACAGTCGTTTCATAGCATTCAATTCTGCCAACTCTGCCAACTATTCTTGCAAACAGGTCATTCGAGCGATGACTGGAGGACGACTGCGGTGTGAGGCCAGGGGATGGGGGGGGGAGTTGGCGAAAATGTTCAGAAAAACAAAAAGCAACATCTCGTAATTTCTCCTCTCCCTGTGTCAGGATACTTCAGCTTCATCAAAATTAGAAGCTAAATCCGTGCCCTCCATCCTTCAACTACGACCCATTTAAATTCCACCAGTACATTAAGCGACCTTTTACGACTCTGAAGACCTGTGCCAGACCCTAAATTACGACCCAGCTGCTCTACGGTCGAAAACTTTCAGAAATATGAGCCGCGCCTGCTGGAAACTGCGCAACGCTCGATAGACCCTAGCAGCGAACCTTCAAGGAATCCAATCCTCATTTATCCCGCAGGTGACCAGCAGCGCCTTTAGGCATGAATTTTCCTATAATTTGTCAATTGTAACTGAGAACGCAACCATCTGCCTAATGATATGTAGAATGTGTCAAGACGCTCCTCGATTTAGCGTGATGGATTATAGTTCCGTAGCGATCGATGGCATCTTTGAAAAGACAAGCCGCGGATTGAAGTACAACAAATTGCTGGCGAAACATGTCGTACTTTTCGGCCGAACAGCTGCTCGATGTACATAGTCCGTGTAGCCGATGGCATTTACACCTACATTCCAAAGGCGCTAGGCTATCGGAATTCGACTTGTCATGCATTCCTAGAAAGAATTCACGTGCAGACTTTAAACTTTGAAACAATTCCACCCTCACTTCTTCTGCAACAGAGCAACACTTTTTCAGCACCTAAAGGCCGTAAGACTTGCAAACTAAAACGATACCATGCAGAAATATCGAATAACGTTCGGATGGGGTGTCGCTTTCACGCAGCAGATCAGCCTCTCGATCCACAAGTCTCACAAACTCGGAGACCACCCGCTTCACGGCCACATCTCGACCATCAAACTTTCCTCTTAAAGAAAGAAGCACTGAAGCTGCAGCAAATCAGACAGAAGGTCCTTTGAGAAAGATAATTGGAATAATAAAGAGAAAAGCGATTTACCTGTAAAACCACCGTCCCTTCACAGCCTCGACCAAGAACTTCTGATGGATTATACAGCAGTTTTCCGACTTTCATCCAACCATCTCTACCTTAAATTTGTAACTGTGGGGCAACTTTATCGAATAAATGCGATCAAAAGACTTCAATAGTATCGATATCTACTCTTTGAAATTAGCACGGATTCACCACAATTAATACGGTCGCGTCCATATTGGCTGCAGCCAATTAATGGTTCTCTATCGTCATGATCGCGCATTTCCCGCCATACTGATGTTTAGCAGCAGAATATTAGACGTTATTTCAGATTAGCTAAAAATAGGTTGTTCCTCGCGATTATTGATGTTCCACTCTTCTTGGTTTTTGTAACTTGCAGACACTAACGGATTTTGAGGGAAGTAAGATGCGGCTTGCTTTCGAAGTAAAAAAGGTTGCCTGTGCGCCACACAGAAAGCGCGTGAGAAAAGGCGAGTTGTTCAGGTTGTGAGGTGTGGGCGGAGTTAGCGGCGCGGTAGGAGGGGTCGTGAGTCGTGTGTAAACCTACAATCGTGACATTCTGAGCAGAAATTTTTGAGTGTTCTATTCGCTATTCCCCTTCGAGAACGTTCACGAGCTCATCCAGCACTGACCGACCGTTTACTCGCAGAGCGCAATGAATAAGGGTCCCGCTCCACGAAGGTTGCCAGGTCAACCTTGTCGATTCGTGTAGAGGAGGCAAACTTGGGGAAAGCAAGCCATAACAAAACCAAAAAAGCACTCAGCGTTTCCCACTCCGCTTCGGTACACGCCACGCATTCTGCCTCCTTTCGACAATGTACCGCAGATGCCCTCGAAGGCCATTACGATTTGTGGTCTACACAAGTGATTTTGCGGGTTAGCTGGTTTTGAGCCACCACTCGTGACTCGTCCCTACGAGTCGTTCTACAGATTGAATCCACCTTATGGAAGGGATGAAGACTGGGCACGTCGGTTGGACCCAGTGGATCCAACCCTGAATCATGCGTAGTACGTAGCGCTACTTACCGCTACACTACCTCTGCCCTCCGCACCACTAGCACCACGTCCATGGATATTTATTCACTAGGTATACTTCTCACATAAAAAGAGGGTTCCCATCCATGAGCGCAAGCTTCTTAAATACTATGGTACATAATTCCCACTGTTCGGAATAATGTCGCTGATTCCACTTCCTTCAAACCGTCAAACTTCGCGAGTCGGTGACGTAATGATCCTTCAGAAAATCCGATCGCCTCACCGCTTCGACCTGCTTAAAGCCCTCGGCAACCAAAACGAGCAGCAGTGAAGGCAAGATGGTAACGGAATAACTGATGCGCTTATGAAAGCTACACAGCTCAAGTAGGTACACAGATTTTTTATTAACCCTTTGACGACCGTGTGGCCCGCCGGTGGGCCACACTTTCGCTCGGTGGCGACACGTTTTTAGGGGTTTATTTTGGCATTTTTATGTTTCAAAACTACACAAATACATCATCGAATTCGCGGAATAATGCGCTAATTACTAATAGTGAAATTGTTGGAGAGTTAATGATTATTGATGAAAAATTCGAAAGAAGTGAAAGTGACGCATTCATAACGGCGGGTCCGTCAAAGGCGTTAAACAGCTTCTTTGCACGTAGTTCATTGAACTTTGCCGGACCTTCCAATGCACGAGGATTGCCCAAATGCAGAATTTATTTTCACTCCGCGCTCTTGGATGCTAAAATGCGTCTTGACCGGCTCTTCCCTTCTCGAGGAATGCTTTGGTGACTGACACCCACCACCACGGCTTAGCGTTGGGGCCGACCACACGCACTCCCCTCCCGTACTCCACCTCGCCGTTACACCACCTTCACCTATGGATTATTCCGATATAGAATCAAAGATGCGCGTCGACACAGCTATGAATGTTAATTCATTTTTCCAACCCAACGTGTCCATGATTTCGCCCTTCACAAATGGGCGCGGCGAATCACGAGCGGAGGGAAGGTGGGAATGAGAGAAGGGAGGGAAATGATGTCTGAAGACAATTGCGTGAATTGCTCCGAGTTTCTGCTAGAAATGTCTCTTCTGAACAATATCTTATCTGGATTCTGCATCTTGTACTCGTTTATATGATTTTCGGCCTAAGGGGTCGACTAGGCGAATACGACCACTCAAAGCGCGGCCTGCCCCCTCCATCCGTCCCCCTCCTTCAACGAGCCCAAAAACATACTCATCACACTATTTCGTCCGCTTAAAGCCCGAATACATCTCTAAACACTAATCTCATCATGAACTTGTACGAAAGACAGAGTTGCCTGCCTTCAATGTAAGAGTATTTACTGTTGCCTTTTCCTCGCTGAAAGAATAACATCCAACGTAATGCCACAAGTTGCCCACGCGTATGGAGCGCATCGATCTCAGTCACTTGTCTCGCTCTCGGTTATGGCCCGGACTTGGTTAGACATTAAAGCGTTATGCAACTGCATACATTATACGAAGTTATACGAATTTATGGATGTCGCATCTTGCAGTAAAGTATATTTAGTCATGTCATGAGAATGCGTGTTTTTTTTTTTGTTCTCGCCATAAACTTTTTCCGAAAATATCATACTATTATATAAACCAGAGTTTGTTTGTCTGACCGCTCCCCAAAAATTCGCAAGTGTCCCCCACATGTTTATAATTTTTCCTTCAAAAATCACCTAGGGAGGGCGGGTCAAGTTTGGAATGGGTAGAGGGCACACATCGTCAAATATACATTTCGAAATTCTGCCACCTTACTCTACCACCCACATCACTGTCATGAATGTTTCTATAGTATTTGATTTGGAGAGCACTTGACACGCTCAACCAGCGCTCAAGCGGTTCCCAGGAAATGCGCGCTGAGCGGCGGGGCAGGGAGGATCGGGGGGGTATGTCTGAGGAAACAGGAAACTTTTCGAAAAATAACCCTTGGGCACCAATCTTTCTACTAAGGAACATCGCTCTTGAAAACCTAACCTTGCGTCCTCTAATCATAAATCTCACCCCTGGGGTGGGTGGGCCCTAACCATCTATATGCACCACTCCTGAATGGCAGTGCACCGCGCACTGTCGTACCTACCTATGTAATTGTCACTACTTATTCATTCGGTAAATAAATCTTCATACAAGTTCTTCCTGCAGCGAAATACTACACTTCTATAAACATTAGCGGAAACAAAGGAGGCTCGAAAGCAAACTGCCACATTTTTGCGAGACTCAAGTCGTGTCACTGTTAGGACATTTGTGCGAGATCATCCCACAAGTGGGTCTGTTCTCGAGGCCCATCTATTGGCCGCGACTCACGGGGGTATCCCGTGCGCAGCTGCAGCTCGCGTATGTATACACGTCCTAAATGTCCAGTCTACAGGATCGTGCGTGCAAAATTACTGGGTACCGTCGGCGTTTTGGCTTTTGAATTTGCGTTGTGGACGCTACTCCCACTTCAATTTGTCCAATGATACGAGTGCTTTACACACTACTACTGATACTACGTGCATCAAAGGTTCGTGCGGTTTTGCTGCCAGAGGTACAACCATCAAATCGAACCAGAACCATGATCATCGCGAACACGTCTCGCGCCACTTCTCAAATTTGCTGGACATCTGTCAGAAACCTTCAAACTCATTCCTTTCCAAAACATGAGCGCCTCGTCTTTACGCTGAAGAGGGATCGAACGTGATGGACTAGTAGTTCGAGCAGAAGCTTTCGCTCCAGAGAATAACGGTGTTCTCGAGCGTGAGTTGGTCCAAGAACAGCGCTGCCGAAACTCCCCTTGGCGTCAATCACCGACACTGGTTCTCAGTTGCTCAGGATTGGAACGATATATTTCCGTGTATTTGTGATAGCGGATTATAGAAAAAACGTGGCTCTATCGCGATGCCCAAATTTACAAGCCCCTCATAAGCGAGCTGTTTTGTTAGGACCTGGGACAGAATTGCTGTGAAAAGCGCTGCCGCATACGAGCGTTCGCTAAAGCGGTTCTCAAGGAATTGCGAGGGCATAGAGGCTTTAGTCGAGAACCATTATGTCTTTTCGAGGTGGTCACCATGTTTATACGAATAATATTCGTAGTGAGACATCCGATTTTTGACAGTTCTTTTTTTTGGCTACTTTCGGAACGCGGATCGAGTAATATTGGCTTTCAGCAATTTTGGCTCCCCTCCCTCTTCGCTGCTGTAGACGTTATCCATAAACTATAGGGGGTTTATTTTTATTTACTTCTGGCGCACACAATTGTACGGCGTTGTACGTGGATGCATGGACAAACAGAAAGTTACCAGACCGTAATAGAAGCTTGCGCCTGCTATGCTAGTTTTCCGTCTCTGGGCTTCGAAACTCTTCCGTAACGAGCCAGATTACATGGCGCACGAAAATGTCTTCGTTGTATCGGGGTACCAATCATACACTCAGTATCACAAAAATCCGGGTGCATTAAGTGCAGACCGTCCATCCTCGCCACGGTAACCGCAGGACACCAACATAGGCGCCTGTACACAGTTTATCTCTTGCAATTCGGTGAAAGCAGCCGTACCGTGACCAAGGTAGAGACGGCAGCTGTCATAAAATACTCTCTGATTTCGTGATTCGATGAGGCATATCAAAAATACTTGCTAGAGGTGCCGAAGAAGACAATGCAAAAATTTCATCAATTTTTGACAATGTTCCACGTAAGTATCGCGAGTTGTTGGACAAGAAATCTTCTCAGCCCCGCACGGCTTTACGAGACCCAGATCCCTCGTGTTTTCCGGCAACAGCGGCTTTGTTTTTTCAGAAAACGAGAGGTGCGGGTTCTAGTCCCGTCTGGGGCGAAAGTTTTGTTCACAACCCAGCATTCTTGTGAAACATTCGCAAGGCGAACTGCGGCCAAAAACAGCAGTTAACAAACAAAAACAAGTCAAAAATTTTG